TTGTAATATCCAAAGCTCAACTTTTCGCTTCAGATTCGAAACTTTTTGGGAGAAAAATATACAAGACGCGTTCCGCTGCCTGAAGGTGTCACAGCAACGATGTCGACCACTCAGAAGGATGAATTAATCGTTGATGGCAATGATTTACAACTTGTTTCACAAGCAGGTCAGTATAATTCATTGGAGGAAATTATGTGCTTTTATATTATTTTTAATTCTGTATTCATAGATCGGAAATGTATGCCTTGTAAACGTCCGAAGTTTTTCCGTATTGATGGTGTCATATTATCGTCTAAAAAAAATTATACAGTTAATCCTTTACAATTATCCTCTACTGGCAGCTTTTAATTATTAGAAGTCGTTATGATGTAGAAGTGATGGTTGATGGTTTTTATTTGTAATATGCGATTCTGCAATTTAGTTGGTTGCTAGTCTAATTTCTACCATTAAATGCAGAAGTTGGTGTGCCACTGGCTGTTGTGGACATCGAAGTCCCATTTAGGAAGATCGATTTAGATAGTTCCGGCGTGAATTTGCTGACAGACACTTGCTCTATGACAAATGCTCTGAAGGGGAAGGGAGAATATACAAGCAATCATTTTTACTGTATTCTGTCATTTAGCTGTTTTGTTTCTTTTGCAGCACTTCCAGATGATTCATATGAGTTCGGGAAAAATCGTTTGATTTTTAGACCATTTCTCTTTCAAATGTCCTAGTGCATACATGTAAAGTTGATGTACAGAGATGTGAGGTGCAATTAAATTAGGTAGAAATGCTAACATTTCAGCAGCAGGTTACGTTTTGACCATTGCCCCTCGTATAGAATGATTAAATATTCTTTTCAGCAGCACGTATTCAGCAATCCACAACAGTAAAGAACAAGGATATTCGTAAATTTTTGGATGGTATATACGTCAGTGAGAAAACGACCATCGTTGATAATTGAATCACTCAATTTATTGTTTATTTTTTTGCAAAAAAATAAAACTATCATTTCATGCAATTTTTCTCCAAATCGTATGTATTGCGTTTACAGGAGTTTAAGCGATTGTATAGTCACTGCTCGATTAATGTGATCGTATTGACTTTTTGAAAAAGTTAGATTCACTTGACTTTTGCAGATTTAATGAATATATTCTGCTAACTTTTTAATGTAATGATAGATTTTAACATTTAAAAATTACTCATTAGGAAATTGTTGGATCTGCTGATTATTTTTTTGATAGAAAGAAAGGCTAAAATCTCGCATGATAGGTGAACTCGTGCATGTTACATCGAGCTGAATTTTTTAATGCATTGGCAGTGAAGGGGGAATAGTCCAGACAGTGAAAAATAAAGTTTAAATAAGAAAAATTAAGTGGCATACATCTGGGACGTTCATTTAAATGACTAATTTGGTCTATAATTTTAAGATGTGAGAAGAGAATCTCCTTTTCATTTAGATAGATTTAAAAATTGGGATTTAGGTTTAAATATGTTACTTTATTAAACTTAGGAAACTTATTGCAGAATAGAAATCAACATTCGCACTTCGTTATTGTTTATTTTTACATTAACAATGGCTTCCAAAATTTTTAAATTCTATTATAACTGGCAGATGTTTTTATTGTTTGAAGCTTTTTGTATATCCAGCAAAATTATTATGAAAGATCAGATTCATACTCTGGTACCCTAACCACATGTCTTGGATATTCTACCTTACAATACGACAAAAACACTTTATTTCGAATATCTTGACAGTGAGCCCACAATATACAAGAGAAAACAAGAAACAAATTCCGATTTTTATTATAGATATAACGTTCTTTTGTAAGCAGTATAATGAAATGGCAGTTATTGCATATGAGAAGAAAATTTACATGAAATGACAGATAGGAGACACCGTTTACGTATGTAGCACCGATTTTTTTAAAAATTCTTTTGGAGATGTCCTCTGGTTCTTTCGTTTTAATTTTCTGAAATAGGATGAATTAACAGCAGTTCTATAATTCATAAAAATCTTCCATTCTGCGAATTTAACAGTTTTTCTGCCCATTTCTCTAACATACTTTTATTGATTTATTTGATGTTTCTGAGTTTTCATCAAGGGAAGTTGCAATTTGGTCGACTAGCTACTCTAATTAATTAGAGAAATTTTGAAAATTTGTAGGAAGAGGGGAAATAAACTTCGGGAATGATATTGTCGAGAATTTCCCCAGTAATCTCTTTGTAGAACTACTAGAAACGATTAGTTCAATAAGCGAGGTTGAAATATCGTAACAATTCTCGTCATGAATTATCTAAGCGTTTGTAACACCTTCAATACGTACTTCTCATTTGATAATCGGGCGGTTAATTCGGAGATTATTTTCGTTTAGGAAGAGTGAAGTAAAAATGTGCAAAAGTTGAAAATGTCAGGCCTATATGCAAAATGAATGTACAAACCTTACCATTTGTTTTTAAGACACACTTGACATCTGCTCACGCGGTCTTTTAAACCACCCGCTTTAAGTGTTTGTGACATTGGTTTTCTCCATTGTTTGTTCTGAAAAAAAAAACAAATAAGTATAGGTGAATGGTTATGGAAGAATATTTAAAAGTTTGATCGTCTAGAACTTATCTTATCAATGATGGTTACCAGAAGCCATGATTAGTTGCACTTACCTTATCAATGATAGCTAGCCAAAAGCCATGATTAGTTGCATAATGATTACATGTTCCCCGGCCATGACATTCAATAAATGGTACTGCGCGGAATTCTTCCAAACAACTTCCCGGTGATTCCAAATTCTGTCCAGTTCCTTCAGCACCAGCAGCGGTATGCTATAAGTTATAATCATACTTGTCTAAGATTTAAAAGCTGAAAGAAAAAAAAATGAAAGTAACATACCATGACAAATGAATAACCGGAATATAGTGATGACCATCCATGTGGACACTGTGGTAGATAAGAGTCCTGTGAATGTACCGCTAGGATTTGTGTTGGTACTTCACAAACTGCACAACGTGATATATATGGCCTTATAGCCGTACCGGATACCTATAAAATGAGAAATTTGCATCTTTTCAGGCAAATAAACGCTAAAAAAAAGGAATCGGAAAGCATGGTGCTTAAACTTACCGGATTCATCATTTGTGTCATTGGTTCTGCGGTGGAGAGCCAAAAGGAGTAATCGTTTCGGCTAGAAACATGACAAACACTGTTCAGATTACAGAACATAAATGGCATTGGGCTGAATTTCGATAAACATGACCCTGGTTGACCTGAAGTAATGCTTGCTACTTACAACTGAATCTTTTTCTACTGAAATTTGACTGAAAGAACGAACAAATTGCCCACAACATCTTCAATCACCCTCTGAAATGTATGTGGAGAAATTTCGATGATCAGAGATCACGAGATGAATCAAGAAAAGAATGTTAGTATTTGTTATCTGATATTTCGAACTGTTTTGGTAGCAAAAAAAATTGGCTTACCAAGATCTTGACCGCTAGCACGTCCATTTCCTTGTACATACAACAATGAATAACCACTCCATAACATTTGTGATCCAGCTGGACATCGCGGTATTTCAGTTGCCTGCGAATGTCTTGCGAAAGTGAAACCACGTGATGGTGCCCAACCACCTGGTGGTCCTGGAAATCCGGGTGCTCCCGGTGATCCTGCTTTTCCAACACGTCCTGCTGATCCCGGATATCCATCTGATCCCATCTTACCCTTAATACCCGGTATACCAGGAAGTCCAGGACTACCCGGTGGACCAGTTAGACCCGGAAATCCTGCTGGTCCTGGTGGTCCTTGCATGCCTAGAAATTTATTTAAATATAGTCGCTCAGGCCACTTTCACATTTACGCATAATTATAAGTGGAAAAAAAATAAAGTTGAATGAATAACATTTTGGACCGACAGTAAATATTACCTGGACTTCCAGTTTCTCCCGGATAGCCTTTTTGTCCAGGCATTCCAGGAAGACCTTGCTCACCCTTCGGTGAATGCAAGTATTGATTATAAACAGCAGGCCTACCAGGAGGACCAGGTCTTCCTGGTGGTCCTATCGGTCCCTGCAAACCTGGTATGCCTGGTAATCCCATGTCACCATGGATTCCTGTAAAAATTTTTATCTTGTTCATATAAACTTCAGAAAACATTCAGGTTGCATCGAAACTTAGAATATAATAATTTGAATAGTTGTATATTTGTGGAAAGAAATAATTAAATAGAAAAATGAATACCTTTCTGTCCTGGAATACCGGGAAGTCCTGGTAGCCCTAAATTACCAGGAAGACCTGGCGCACCTGAAGCACCGGGTATACCTCGTTCGCCCAAATACCCAGCAAGTCCATCTTTTCCTGGTATCCCTGGCAAGCCGGAAAAACCTCTTTCACCTTTTGCTCCTGGATAGCCATCCATTCCCGCTTGACCAGGTAATCCAGGAGCTCCATCACGACCTAAAACATACCGTATGAAACAACTATGTAATAATGGAAGGAATAAATAGTTTGGAATTAATTTTATAACAAGCAAACATAATTACCTCTTTTGCCTGGAATTCCAGGAATGCCTTTTTCACCTTGATAACCTGAGAGGCCATCAGAACCACGCATACCAGGTGCACCAGCCATGCCTGGTCTACCGTCTTCACCACGTTTACCTTTTAAACCTGGCAAACCAGGCTGGCCATGAATTCCAGGATAACCTGTACTACCTGGAGGGCCTTGGACGCCTGAAAAAACATGTCTTTTGTTTAACGCTAATTAAAAGTGGCAAACTTCATAACAGCAGTCGCTACGAAAGCGAATATTATGTCATTTTTTATAAAACTTACCGAATCCAGGTGCTCCTGGCAAACCAGGAAGTCCATCGTCACCTCGAGCACCAGCAATTCCAGGTAAGCCATTTACACCTGGAGGACCTGGAGCACCAGTGTTGCCACGTAAACCTTTGATTCCTGGTATGCCTGGCAAACCTGTATTGCCTTCATCACCTGATATACCTGGTAGTCCAGATAAGCCCATTTCACCCTAAAATTATTTGCAATAAGACAATTCAACTGAAGAGATGTCGTTATATATTTTCAAATCAGTCATCAAAATATTAGTATTAACTAACTGGTGCACCGACTGGTCCCGTTACGCCAACAGATCCTGGAGTTCCTGGCTGTCCAGCTTCTCCTTTCCTGCCGTTCACTCCTGGTTGCCCCCTTGAACCACTAAATCCAGGCTCACCCGGAAGACCAGCATGACCTTTTTGACCCATTATACCGTCTAATCCAGGTGGTCCTTGAAGACCAGGAATACCTGGTAGTCCCGGCAATCCACGTTCACCTTTGACACCAGGTATGCCTGGTCGCCCATCAGAACCACGTTCGCCATTTCTTCCAGCATCACCTTGTTGACCTTTGGCTCCTATAATCAATTACATTTTTATTTTCCGGGCAATCTAAAGTTAACAGTTTCTATTAAAAATACTATTAATGAGAAGAGCAATAATGAATTTTGTAAAAATGTTGCGTTTTATTAGCCACTACAATGCTTACGCTTTATCTAATAATAAATAAACTTTGATGTAAATCATGCCTGGATATCCAATCATTCCTGGCAAACCAGGAAATCCATTGGTTCCATCGATTCCATCTCTACCAGGTTCTCCTTCGGGGCCTTGCAGACCTGGTAAACCAGAATAACTGTTTCCCGGCGAACCACATTCTCCCTTAGTTCCTGGTATGCCATCTTGTCCAGGTAGACCAACGGGACCTTGTGGTCCTGGTAAACCGATATTGCCTGGTGGTCCTGGATGCGCAAATTGTCCAGGTTCACCACGCATACCTTTTATGCCAGGTGAACCAGCATAACCTGGAGCCCCAGATAAACCAGGAAGTCCTTCCAATCCAGGAGCACCAGGTAAGCCTGATTCTCCATCAACACCCTTCAATCCAGGCACGCCATCAAGTCCATTATCTCCTGGTATACCAGGAAAACCAGGTTGCCCTGGCACTCCATCTACACCTCGTTCTCCTTTTACTCCCGGATAACCAGGTTCACCATCTTCACCGGAGGGTCCTATTTTGCCGAGCGCCCCAACATTTCCAGGCAAACCTGGCAGACCAGCAAAACCTCTTTCTCCTTTAATTCCAGGCAAACCATCTCTGCCGGGGGCACCACTTTTCCCTCTCAAACCTGGAACTCCTTCACTGCCAGCTTTTCCGGGTCGTCCTGGACGTCCCATTTTTCCCGGTATTCCGGGCAAACCACGTTCACCTTTCATTCCAGGAATTCCAGCTAACCCAGGATAACCGTTTTCACCTGCAATTTATTTCCAAATATTTTCTCACAATCAGATCTATGATAAAATTTCTACGCATTTCTTTCGTTGAATGAATGAAGATTGAAGTACATTCAAAAAGCAACGAGATGATTGTTGTTCTTACCTGGCACACCTCTCACACCAACAGCGCCCGGCTTTCCTTGTAATCCTGGCTTCCCAGCAGGTCCTCGATAACCAGGTCTACCACTTTCACCTTTTGCTCCAGGAAAACCAACTTGTCCAGCCAAGCCCAGACCAGGCTCTCCGCGTAAACCTGGTAAGCCAGCAAGACCAGGAAGACCGCCTTCTCCCGGTAATCCACGTTCACCAGGAACTCCTGGATAACCGTCATCTCCCACCAAACCAGGAAGTCCAGGCGCTCCACTTTGACCTGGCTTTCCAGGATATCCAATAATACCAGGTTCACCAACTCTTCCTGGTAATCCATCGAGACCAGGTGCACCTGGTAAACCAGGAAGACCATCAGCCCCACGCATTCCTTTAAGTCCTGGTGCTCCATCATAGCCATCACGACCAACTAAACCTCTTATCAGACCACTATATGGTGGTCCTTGTGGCCCCATCGGTCCAGGAAGACCTGGTAAGCCATCAGCACCTCGTTCGCCTTTTATTCCATCTAGACCAGGTGGACCTGGATATGATTCACCTGGTGGTCCAACTGCTCCAGACAGTCCAGGCTAAAGTAATATACATTTCATAAATATGTAAATGAAAGACTATTTTAAACTTTTAAGGCATTAAATTTCTATCAGAAATAATTTCGGAACTGGAAACTTACAGCTCCATCACGACCATGCTTTCCATTAATTCCAGCTAAGCCTTTTTCCCCTGGAAGACCAGGTGTACCATCCAGACCAGGTGGTCCGGGTAATCCATCAGCTCCGGGCATTCCTCGTCCACCAGGAATCCCTGAGAAAAGCTATTGTGAAATAATATACAGGTGCTATGAAAAAGAATAAATAGCAAATTTCCGACTGAATTTGAATTAAGTAAAATCAGACTTCTAAACCTTCAGACTTGTAGATCATATTTTCATTAATAATTTTGAAGGTATTTGAAGTAAAAATAAACGTGCCTGGTTGTCCTCGTTCTCCTTTGCTTCCAGGGAATCCTCGAGGATTCTCCAAGCCACCAAGAATTTCGCCTGCTTCACCCTTTATCCCTTGGAAACCTGGTAGTCCCGGTAGACCTTCGGAGCCCTGTAGAAATATTAAAATTTATTAAACATTTTACGCATTTTGACATAATTTTTCAGACATGAACCGATAATTATATAAATATTAAAATTACTACAATAATCAATATGACACCAATACCTGCTGTCCATCTGGACCCACACGTCCTGGTTTTCCAGGTAAACCTTTCATTCCAGTTAAGCCTTGATTTCCGTTTGGACCCAAGGGACCTGGATATCCATCCTGTCCCGGAAGACCAGCATCACCTTTTTGTCCTGGCAAGCCTGGTGCACAATATCCACAATCATCACCCTTTTCTCCAGGATATCCAGGACTGCCCGGCAATCCATCCAAACCGATTCGTCCGTTCTCTCCAGGTGGTCCTATTAAACCGACCATACCTGGTGGGCCTACTTTCGAAATGCCAGTTCCTGGAAATCCTTTCAGACCAGCTAATCCAGGATCACCGACATCACCTGGCACTCCAGTAAAACCGTCGCGGCCAGGTCTTCCTTCCAATCCTGGTGGTCCTTGAATGTCGAATCCTGGCAAACCTGGTTCCCCCATTATTCCGCAGTCACCGGGAGTACCTGGTGCTCCTGCATCTCCTACGTAACCTGGATTCCCGTCCGCACCACGATCACCTTTTTCTGAATACCCAGGTAAGCCATTCAAACCAGGAGCTCCTTGTGGACCAGGAGCACCATTTGGTCCTCGAGCACCGACTGGACCCATTACACCTGGGAGACCTGCAAATGTTCTTCATAAAACCACAGTTGGTCTTTTGCATATTTTATTGATGATAGCTTTTATGAGTACAAACCTGGTTGTCCTTTTTTTCCAGGTGCTCCATCAAATCCCTGTAAGCCACGTGGTCCTGGCTGCCCACTGCCTGTACCAAACTCTCCCGGCGGCCCGGGTTCACCCTCCTGGCCAATTCGACCATCATAACCCAATTCACCAGCAGCACCTTTTTGCCCCGAATAACCATCGAGACCTGGCACACCTTGAATGCCAGTTTCACCTTTCTCTCCGATCAAACCCATAGGTCCATCTTTTCCTCGTTTGCCCTGCAAATAAAAAGAATATTGTTGACAAAAATCATTAATAAACAAATTTCCCAAATGCAGGACTTGGTGACGGCATTTTATTTCCGTGATACTTCTTTTTTTTTTACTCTTACCTTTTTCTTTTTTACTCTTACTCTTACTTGCTCTACCTTTGAGAGGTGAAGAAAATCAGAATTTAGTGTGAACTTTGGAGCAAAATTACAAATAGTCTTACTCTGGCTCCCAAATCACCAGGATCTCCTTTTTGTCCTTTGATTCCAGAAAATCCTGGCACTCCATCACTTCCAGCAAATCCAGGAGGTCCAACTGAACCGATCCGCCCTTTTTCACCTTTCAAACCTATAATATTTAGTTATGGTAACAAAAAGCAATATATTAGAAAATAATGGCAGTAGATGTTCGCTTTGAAAATGCGCCAATACTTCATGTACCTGGCTCTCCAATAGGCCCTTGAATCACTTCCGTTTCTTCTGGAGCAGATGCACCAGCAAAACTGCCCGGTGGTCCGGGTAATCCTGGTGGTCCTGCTAAACCTTTTTCACCTTTCATACCTGGTGTTCGAATTCCCATGCGTCCTTTTGGACCTTGAGGACCAGGAAAGCCTGGTGGTCCCTGCAAAAAGATTGTCGCAAATAGATTTGTTAAAGACAATTAATTAAATTAAATGCAAGCCAGTTGATTACTAGAAAGAAAACTTGAAAAATGTAACTTACATACGGTCCAGGATCTCCTTTTGCACCTTTTGGCCCAGGTAATCCAGGCATACCTGGTGCGCCAGGTAATCCAGCACGACCCGAATCGCCTCGTTCACCCTTTCTGCCGATTGAATTGATACCTCCTTCACCTGGTGGTCCAGGATATCCAGATCGACCTGGTTCACCAGGAGGGCCTCTTAAGCCAGGAGGACCGGCTAAACCCGGTAGTCCCGGTCTCCCCTACAAAAATGTGAGTGTAAAATGTGAATGCAACACACATTAAATAGCAGCTGAGGAAATCGAAAGAATAATTTTATGGGTTCAAAAGAAGAGAAGCAAATCTCATTTCGGAGAACTATTCGGATTTTAATCCTTAATAAAATATCATTTTATGAAATTATGCATACTCGGCAAAATGTGGGAAAATTGTAATCTTTAAAGGATTTTCATTTTGTTCTTTCAATTTAAATAGGTCTCATTTGCACATTAAATTTGAGACAACTATATTGGAAATATATTATAAATAAAGAAATGAACTTACATCCGTACCATTGCAGCCCGGTACACCCATTTCACCCTTCATACCCGGTAAGCCATCAAGTCCGGGAAATCCAACATGGCCCGGTGCTCCTGGTAAACCTCGATCACCCTGTATGAATTTTTATATATTCAATAACAAATAAAAGTTTTTCCTTTTGATAAAATGCTCTCATTAAGAGAATGTTACGATCATTTCTCAGCCGAAAACTTTCCCGCATAACTTACTCGAACACCTTTCATACCGGGATCACCGAAATCTCCTTCAGCACCTTGCATACCTACTGCACCAGCCTGCCCTTCACCGCCATCTTCACCAGGTGCTCCAGGATGGCCTCTTTCACCTTGAAAACCTGTTACACCCTAAAATAAACAAAATATTATGAAATCAGAACTAATTAAATTCCCTTTTACGTTTTTTTTTAAACTTTCGTAAAAAATTTCCATATGTGCAAAATCTCTGCATTGTAAATATAATGGAAAGTTTTGGATTTTTTTTTACCAACCAAAATATATTAGCAGGAGAAGAAAAAGGGTTACCCGCTCTCCTTTCTGTCCCGGACAAATACAGGGCGGTGCACATCCCTTACATGCAGCTGCATCAACGAATGCCGACAGTCTTCCGGATAGTGTCAACCGTCCCGTGGAAAATATTGCCAACAGTAATAATTTTAAGTATAACATAATTTCATATGTGTAATTGAAATAGATTAATTATATATGTTGGACAATCTCCGTGCACCACGTGGTGCACTTCTTCGGCTTACTTCTCCGGTACGTGGTCGATTTAAAGAACTTATGGCTACCTCTCAACTCAACACCTGTAATTTTTCACATTTCAATAAAACTTTTTCTTATTGTATAAACTAATATTTTCCAATGAAAATGATTCAATGCGTCAAAAAATTTTGGCGATTTTTAAATTTCAATCTTCTCTGAGCCATTTTTATTACTGCATTCCTTGAAGCAGAGATTGAAATTGGTAAAATTATGGCTTAAAATGGAAGGTATCTGATAAAAATTCTAAAGCAAACAGCACCAATCTGAAATTGGTAGAGAATTGTAAAATAATTCATTAGAAATAATAGTTCTTAATAAAACAAATCTATTCATTGATTCAGAAAAGAAGAAGAAGTTTAAATAATGAACAATCTTTTCAACTTTTTGATCTTTGTTCACTGTATGAGAATGATATTTAAGGTTAAATGATTTTAAATGATCGTTCTTTAAAGAATATCACAAAAGTTTTTTTAGATAAAAAATTTGAAATAATATAAGCTATTCAAATATGATAGGAGAAATAATAATGCTGCAGTTTTTTTTTCAAAGATGAAAATTGAAAAATCATTCATAATGTAAAAACTTTTGTTAACAGTTGAACAAAGCATAATAATTCGAAATTTGACCTTCCGTCTTATTATCTAAATTACAAATCTTCTTTCAATCTTTTTTTGTCCAAATATTTAGATCACTTCCATGAATATTATCTAATGATTCTTCCTTGCTTTCACTGATGGCAATTTATTGAGCATATTGGATTGAGATCGATTGCTAATTGCTAAATCATTTAATTCACTTACCACAATCCGTAATATCACCAATGAATAAGCAACAAAGAGGATGAAATTGAACTCAATCAATTTTAAAGTAAATATGCCCCTCATTCTCGTCTTCTCAATTTCTTCACACATTTCATTTTCTTTGCAAAATGGAAATATGGTAAAGTATAAATATCATATAAATAAATATACGACAAATATGTGAAATCTCTTACAGTTTTATTATGTGAATTTTTACGTACGATCACGTACGATTATTTAATATCTACCACTATTTTTTTATTCACAATTTTAAATTTATTCTATTATTCATTTTTGAACAATTAATTTTTCTCGTTCTTCCCTGTATCAATTAATACGCAAAATTTTGTCACAAATTAGACATATTACACACATTGTATCTGGAAAACTATATCCGGAAAAAGTGACAGAAAGTTGTATCAGGAAAATTTTTATCCGTTACATTTTTCTACATCTTCTGCTTCTATCCAAGCAAATATTATTGTCAAAATCATTCTTTTATCGATTTCTTTGATCACTGGGAGTGGAACTTGTCGAATTCGTTTATTCTTGAATAACTTGGCAATATTTACTTAATTCACGAAAGTTTCAGCAAAAAAGAAAACCGTTGAAAGATAAATGTGAGAGAGAAACAAACTGGAAAGATAACCATCTGGAGATCGTTTTTTCTGGAATTGTCTTCATCAAAATTTTTTAAAAATTAGAGTAATATGGAGAAGGAAAGTGAGAGAAAAATATAATCAGCAAAATTATAAAATGATTTCTTAGAGTTAAGAATTAAAACAACAACTAAATTATCAATTATTTGATAGCTTTTTTCTTTTTATTTATTTCAATTAACTGTTTCAATTACAATCTACAATATATACTATCCTACCTGTGCTACCAATGTTTATCAAAATTGATAAGGCATTAAGTTTATTGCGAAAATTCTCAAAAAAAAGTGTAAATTTTCACAGAGATAACACTAGCAATAATATAGCTAGCTGATAGAGAGTTTTGTCAAAATATAGCACTCTGTTAAACAAAAGAGCCTGGCAATAATCGCTATGCAAACTGAGAATGAAGAAGTATGAGCTAAAGCTAAAATTGAAATTGGAGTTGGAGTTGGAGTTGGAACTGAGTGCATATTTTATGAATCCTTCTCTGCTTATCTCTCATTCGACATTTAAATTTCCTCTCTCGAACTTCCAGTCTTTCTCTTCACTTCACCTCCGTTCGATAGCGCCAGCTGCAATTCTTACCTCTTTCTTTTGTTAACATTTTGTGTCTGTTACACATCGGATAAATCATTTAGAAAGCAGCCACTTCTACCGGATATCGGCCATACTGCACCACAAAGAATTCATTTTTTTCTTCTCAAGAATATTCAGACACACACACACACACACACACACACACACACACACACACACACACACACACACATACAGATACAGTCATAATATAAATGTAGAAATGTTGTGAGCGCCGAGCGTTATAGTCTCAAGGATGATAAAGTAGCTCGCAACTATTGGTTGTCTGATTAGACGAGAAGTCGGTCGATTACGCACAATTTTGAACGCTATAGCTCGTACGTGTAACGATTGGTGCGTTAATTGCTATTGGAAATGATAAAGAGAAAGACAGAGAACAATGAACTGTTTTGCTGTGCGTTTTTATTGAATGTCTATAATTTATGAAAATAACAGAGGAACGGCTAATATTCAGCCTAAAAGTCTGGCAATATTTCCGCACATTTTTAAACCAACGATGCTGAAGAATTTATTACTTTCAACCGATCAACTTCAGTTCATCTTATTTTAGAGCGAAAAATTGGAAAAGAAAAATTGGAATCAGATGGTGCGCAGATGTCTAAATTTTCGCACATCCCTTCATTCATCCCTATCAATCATCTCTAACTTATTCTACCTGAACAAACTTGCAATCGTATAGTAAATGACATTTATTATTAATTTGTAGCTACTGATAATTGATAAGAGATAAATTGAATTAAAGTTATTTTTTCCCCTCTGCTCTAAAAAAAAAAGTAACGATTAATGAAGGAATATTTAAAAACTGTTTGATAGAATAAGCCAAAAAGAATGTAATACCGGAAAATCTATGGAACAATCAATTAACGGATAGCTAATGAATGTAAAAAGCAAAATGTATTATTGGAAATTCAAGTTGTAGCATTTTCTTGAAGATATTTACAGAGAGAATACTTTTTGTTCACTTCTAATAAACTTGCTAATACTTTTTTTTTCCTTTTGAACTTTTCTCGCTTCATAGATTGAGAAATTCCCTCACTGCTTCACATTCTTTTCCATCAAATAATATAGCAATGATAAATGTGTGTGATTCGATGCATAACACTCAAAACGTGCATCCGTTGAGTCTTAGAAAGTATGAACAAATTAGCGCTGTTCACTAATAATCGTTTAATTTTTAGAAATATTAACATTTATCCCTCATCTTTTTTACTTCTACAGAAGGACAGAAAAATTGAATTGAAAATGAAATGCTGCAAATTGTTGACAGATTTGAATTAAAGGCAAAAATATTCATCTCGTTGTGTACAATCTTTCAACTCTATCATTTCCTCTTTTGTTTTCGCAAATATTAAACAAATAATAATTTAACGGTTCAAAAATTGGAAATGTATGGAAATATTTATTAGGAAGACAATTATCACCAAAATAAGCTTTGCATATAAATGGTAAGACAATAACAGTAAGTAGAATTTGATTATCAAAATTACGTTTATGAGAATTGCTTTTTCGGATATGTTTCAAACAGCATTTATCATTGATTCGTTGGATATCGATGAAGGTGCCAAATGTTCTGTTAAATCAGTTTCCTTCCAGCCTTTTCGACTACCCTAACATAAAATTGTTAACATTAATCTAAATAAAATTGTTAAAACGAAAGAAAAAAATTACTTTTAACTTATAAGGGATAATATTCAAATAGAGATATAGCTCAAAGCATTTCCATTCAATCGATTCAATCAATCGGTCTCTCTTAGCGACGGAGTAAGCAAAAATGTCTCTCACTCATATAAATCTCTCCAGAAACAGATCACCAATTGCAAAAGAAAATAATAAACATAAATAAATAAATAATACTTTGATGATTAAACAGTCATTGTTGGTTATGTAGGACGATATGGAAGAGAGTCGTACGTCATTAGGAATTGTATATTTCCGCGTGAAACTTCGACGTAATCTTTGTGCGCCCGTACCATCGTCTTCTAAGCGATCTCCAATTACACTAAGCGTATGCTGATGTAATGTTATCTGAAAACGATATTCATTCATCGCTGACAATATCTTTAGGCTTTATAAATAAGGCTCAAAGATATTGTCATTACGGTTTCATACGTCATTGACGTGATATTATTAACATACAACTAACATTGGAACCTTTTGTTATGAATTCAATTCAGAAAGGAACCTGAATATCTCTTGGCTGGAAATGTGTTATGTTCAGTTGAATGGTGAAACCGTGCTCCGTATTAATAATATCACCGACATTTGATGAAATTTGTGGTGAAGGAGGATGTGATCGAAGTTCCACCTACTAATTTGTTTTTTTCCAAAACATTTAAAATATTTAAAATAAAAATGCAATTAAAATTTAAAAAGCTTTATTGGTCTACAGTGCTAAATTAATTTATAAATTGATAAAAACAAATTATAATTTTGCAATTTTTCCAATTTATTTCAACATTTTTTCTATAGATTTTATAAAATTAAATTTCCAGTCCAATTGACGTTTCATAAACAAATTCAATAATGAAATATTAATTTACCAAATTACGAGCTTGATTAGTAGTACTCAGTGATTTTACATTACGACATGCTATACCTGAGCTACTTGCCATAACTCCATTCTGATGGTTTGACCATCCAGATTGCCATAATCCGTCTTCTCTTAAAGATTTACGGAGTTGTACAGCAATTTCATTAATGAAATGTAAAATACTTTATTCCGAAAGTAATCGCTTTTATGTTAAAAAAAAGGAATTGTTTCAAGTCATTAAGATTAGTAAATAGATCGCTCATAGACAAATTTAATTTGAAATTTTTAAAAATATCTATGAAATATGTTGTATGGAATCCTATCTTATAACATCGCAATATTTATCTAAAACTTGGCAAGACTGAATCTCTCTGTTTAACATTTCAGTAATTTAGTCGAATGCAGTGAAACAAATGCAGAAAAATAATGAAATAAAATTAATTTAAAATTATTTAGCAATTATTTATATAAATATGCTTTCTTTTTTTCTTAAAAAAAAGAAAATTCGCAACCATTTTTGCGCATATTTTTTAAGACTTCGATTAAATCCATTAGTGCTCATTGAAAATAATAAATTCTTTTATATAAGAATTTGAATGAATGGAAGAGGTCCGATTTTTCGCATGAAAAATTTTTCGGAAAGTAATGAATAATTCAAATATTGCTTATAGCTTGGCTGAATTTATTGCCTTAATTCGATCTATAATTTTTTTTTTCGATAACAATATCATTTAGCAAATCTTGAAATTTAAAAGTAGTCAAAAATTGCAATATATTTAATTGCATAATTAAAAGAATATCTGGAAACATTTATAACGAGATTTTTCCTGTTTAAGCTTTGATAGTTTCAATTTTGAGAGCTAGAAGTTTTCAATCATATTATGCCTATTGAAATTTGAGAAAAGTAGCAATGCTTATGTGATTGATTGCTAAATCTTTCCAAGAGTGTGAAATGTTAAATAATTCAAAATCGATTGAATCTATTGAATAACATTATTTTTCTGTTTTGAATTATTTCATATTGTGAAGAAAGAAATGAATGATAAGAATGATTAAAATAATAATTTGCTCACATTGGACGATAGCTTGGTCGAGCAATGTATGTTATTGGCATGGATGTGATATGTTGCTGTTGTGCTGTCATCTGCGCCAGGCTCTTTTGTCGCTCCCATTCTGTGCAATCATTTTCCTACAATTTTTTCATATCAAAAGACAAATCTCTTTATCGTGCAGTATAAAATAAAAGACAAAATATTTCTTCCGAATTGAATACCGAAAAGGATAAAAGGAGAAATGAATAATTTTATAATTAATTATTTAATTGAACATTTTTCAAGGAAGAAGAAATATCAAAATTTGAGTAACAGTTAAGATCTTTGAGAATTTTAATTTAATCTTTTTTCATATCTCTTACAAACTCATGTAGTTAATGAAACAACAAATATCACAATCAGATAAATTGATATGCATGAAATGAAATACGAAAATATTTCGTGGCATATTTTATAATCAAAGAAATATAATATTCATTTCAAAAATTCTTTCAATCTTTTTTTGTTCATTCATTGATTGATCCATCCATCCAATTATTTATACAAGAAAGTCTCTGATTCTCGAAAAATATATGCAATCGTGTTCTTATCAATGAAAATATTCGGTGTAAAATTTATGGTTTATGTATTTTTTTCCCTCAAATGCATTTTTTTAAAAATAATTATAAATATTAAAATCATTGATCTATTGTTTGAGATAAGAACAAATAAACCTATTATCAACTTATTATTAATCAAAAGTCAAAGGCAAATAAAAAAACTAACCAAACTATTGCCAATTCTCTTCAACATTTTATAACAATCGTTTGAATGGTAAACACGAGACATTCTTCGCATGCAAATTGTTGTTATAAAAAATTGTAAGAATTAAATAAACATTTAAATGTGAACGGATTTGCAGTAACACACACACACATACACACATACACACACATACACACA